CACAGAGGCACCCGCTAAGAAGTGGGAGCAACCTCAAGCACCTCAAGTCTAGGGTGCACATAGATTTTGCTGGCCCTGTTCACGGCCAGACTTTCATGGTAGTTGTGGACGCCTACTGGAAATGGCTAGAAATAGTCCTCATGACCTCTACCATGGCAGAAGTGGTCATCAAGGCACTATGGAGACTTTTCTCCACTCACAGCCTGCCCGATGTCTTGGGTTCTGACAACGGGCCCCAATTTACGGCCATGCAGTTCAAGACCTACTTAGCAGCACAGGGAATCAGACATGCCCTGGTCGCTCCATTCCACCCGGCTTCTAATGGTCAGGCTGAGAGAATGGTGAGACCTGCAAAAGAAGCCCTATCCAGGATGGGCCCGGGAGATTGGCAAACACGGGTTGATCAATTCCTCCTCATACAACACATCACACCAAGTGCTACCACTGGTAGAAGCCCTTCCAAGCTTCTAATGGGTCGCCGGCTAAGATCCCACTTAGATCGGCTACACTACTCTGCTGTGTTGCCCCCAATTCGACCAGCAAAATAAGAAACTTTAGCATAGGGGGATCAAGTTTACACCCACAACTACGCTGGGGGAACTCTTTGGATTCCTGCCACAGTGATAGGCATCACTGGGCCTCGCTCTTACCTATTAGAGCTCGAGGACGGTTGAAATTGGAGACGGCACATTGACCAACTCTGCGGCCGCATCTCCAACTCCAGTCTTAGGCAACCAGAGGTAACTTCTGCATGAGTTAGCCAAAGCCCTACCCAAAAGGAGCACAAATTCACTCCTAACACAGATAACTCAACCCTGAAGGTGCCAGGGCACTTATCAGTAATTGTTGCAGGCCTGCAGCAAGTTCCAAGCGAACCGGCTCCAGAAACTCCAGCTGCAGCCTGTGAGAAGTTCCAGGAGCTTCCACCAGGCGAAGCCATGGAGACAACAGGTTCATCCGACCTGACTGAAGAACACCCACCAACTGAACTGCACAGGTCTGGGCGAGCCACCAGAAAGCCCGTCTACCTGCCTGACTACGTCACAAGTCGGTTGAGCCCATCTAAGTGCGGAGGGGTGTTAGATACCAAAAACATTGATAATGGTTTACACCAAGGTCCTCTGTTCTGGTGGGAACAGAGATTCAATCTGATTGGTNAGGTAACAGAATAACAGAGCTGGAAGTGCCCTTGTTAGATACCAGAAACATTGATAATGGTTTACACCAAGGTCCTCTGTTCCATCAAGCCAGTGCCAACAAAACATACTCCTCCCTGACTCTCAACCAACTTAATAATTATGGATTGAGGATGGCTTCCTACTTTTATACTTTAACCATTCCCAAGTATAGAAGAGCTTTTTCTCTAGCTCACTTTAATGTCTTGCCCTCAGCACTTATGGATGGTCGTTTTAAGAGGCTCCCGATTAACGAGCGGCGATGCCCTTGTGACAGAGCCGAGGTTGAAACTGTGGAGCATGTCCCTCTATTTTGCCCCATGTGTAACGCAGACAGATCTAAGTTACTGTCTCTTCTTGAAATCGTCCCTTCTAGTCCTAGTGGCTGTAATTTGTTTGAGGAAAACACTGTAACTTCCCTCACTTAAGCTTTGGGTGACTGATTGCTATGATGCTACGATCAATTCTCTTATGTCTCTTTTGTAGTACTCTTATTTTGGTCTGTGACCGTAAATAAAGTATTATTATTATTATTTTAAAAAAATTGAAACTAGACAAATTGATTGGCCAGGGAATCCTAGAGCCAGTAGATCACGCACGCTGGGAGCCCCTATAGTGACACCTGTCAAGCCTGACAGGTCTGTCCGCATCTGCATGGATTACAAGTGCACGCTAAACAAAGCTTTGCAGCAAAGCACTTATCGTGTTCCCATTGTACAGCATTTACTGCACTCATTAGGCCCTGGAAAAGTTTTTTACAAAATTAGATGTGGCACAGGCATACCAGCAGTTGCCTGTAGATGGCGCCATGGCAGAGGCTGAAACCATTGTGATGCACAGGGGTGCATTCAAATGCACCCCCCTTCAATTCGGAGTTAGTATTGCCCCTGAACTGTTCCAAAGCATCATGGAACGGCTTTTGCAGGGGATTCCAGGAGTCACCCCCTATTTTGATGACATATTGGTATCGGCTGCAAATAAGGTGCAATTGTTTAAAAGATTGGGAACTGTTCTGGCCAGAATCAGAGACAAAGGCCTCTGCCTCAAAAAAGAAAAAAAATGCCAAATTAATGTGCCAAGGGTTGAATTCCTAGGGTACCTCATCGACAGCTCTGGGATTCACCTGACCAACAAAAAAAATAGGCAATCCAGGATGCCCCTACACCTCGCAATCAGACTGAACTGCGGGCATTTCTCAGGCTCCTTAACTTCTACAGTGTCTTTCTCCAACAGAAAGCCATGCCACTTGTCCTAGCATGCAACGCTTCCCCCTTTGGCATAGGAGCTGTCCTCAGCCATCACATGCCCAATGGAACCGAGGCGCCCCTGCTACTCNTACATACATACACACATACACATACATACACACACACACACACACACACACACACACACACATATACACACCGTACATTAATTTTCTTAGGCCAATTCTGCCTGTTAAAGTGACATTTGATAACCAATGTTTGTAGTAGTACTAGGAGACAAATCATAATTGAATAAACATTAATTTGAATAAATCTATTTAGATAAAAGGTTTTCGCATTACAATATAGAACTGAACAAATTGTCCAATGAATAAATATAAAGAATTGGTTCTATAGTTCAATAAGCAATCTTATGGTGCAGGAAAGCATGAAATATGACAAAAATAATCACCTTTTCTCCTTCGCTCCACTTTTGTCTTGTGGAAGTCCAGCTGTACTCAAATGTAACTCAGCCATGGGATCAATGAAAAGATAATATTTTCTATCATTTATGTCTTTCAGGCAATGCATGTTAGGTACTGAATGTTTTGCTAACTATCCTTCTTCTACAGAGCAGATCTACAATCAAATCTGAACTGATAACAGGTTATATGTGAATTATTAGAACTTTCACCAGTTTTCTTGTTACTTATAGGTTTTGTGGTGTGATTCCTTTTGCACAGGGTTTTTAGTGAATGAACCAGCACTGTGGTTATGCTTTCTGATTTCATGTGGGAGGTCTTTACATGTTTCATGTAATTAGTAAAAATCTAAACTTGTGCTATGACTATACTGAATGAAAATTATGTTATTTTCAGGTTGTAAAGCAGGACAATGAATTAGAAGACTTGAAAAGTCAACTTGCTGAACTGCAGCAAAAGTTTCATTCATTGAGCAGTGTGGATGAAAAATTACAGACTTTAGAGAAGAAACTGCAAGGGAAAATTGTTATAGAAGAGAATGAGTGGAATAATCTTTTGAGCCGCGTCCTCCTCCTTGAAACACAATTGTTTCTTCATTCCAAAACAGTATGTACTTTCCTCTGTGTTAAAAGTTAGAAATACAGTAATCTACTATTTAATATTACATTTTTATTTTTAAGGGTTATCTGTCTTAGCTATTAATTAATATAGCACAAACTCGCCCTATTTTATACTGCATGAGATTATCAAAATTAAAGAATGTTCTTTCTTTTTCAAAGACAACTTTCTAAAATTTTATTTTATTTTATTTTATAATGGAAAGCCTATAGAAACTAATGAAAATAGTAACTCTATTCCAACTGCTGCTTATTTGTACATTTATTATTACTTCATATTAATGAACATAGTTGTTAATGTTTGGAATACTGCTGTGTTGGCTATTATCCCTTTTCTGTATTGTTTGAAATTTCTCTAAGTAATGTATTTGATTTTTAATACATTTCTAATGCTATGCTAAAATGACATCAAGGTTTCTGCTTGTCAAAGCATTATTTTAAAATAGTAAATTTGAACCAGAGAATGTATAACAAGAGGCATTATTTTCGTGTTCAAGATAGGATCATTGTTGCTTTTCTTAGTGTTTGCCCTGCATGGTTTCAGGAAGTGATTGGTTTTGCAAGAGATAGTTTGTTTATCGGTCGGTTGGTCACAGAGTCTGATACCATTAAAAGAGAGTGACCCTCAGATGGGTTCTGTGCCTAAGGAAGAATTAGAAGCTGTGTCTCCTGGCTCATAGTCTACCACCTTAACCTGGCTCTCTTAGTGTTTGAAAGTACATTGGGGATTTAATTACTTTGTTTTTTTAATGCAAGGCTTTTGAATTCATACCAAAATTATCCCAATGACTCTTTTGTACCATAGGAAAAAAGTAGTAGATCTAATCCATGAATATTATACTATCAAATGTCAATAGTATAGTACTGAGATAAGCAGTAAGCAATACAGTTGTTATTATTTTAATATACTCCGATTTGAAACATGATCTACAAAAATATCACTTTATCTCAGGTTAGATAGTGTTTCAGTTCAGGATTTGAAGGTTATGTTAATCACATAATGCCAATTCACGTATTGTGATGTGAAACTGTAGTAAAATAGGAAGCTTTGATTTATATACCTAAAATTTGATTCCTGAATTAATGATAATAGTTAAGGCTATTGGGTATGCTACTACTATGTATAAAATGATTTAAATATAACTTAGTTATTGCACAAAGAGGACTGAAAATTTCAAAATAACTAGTTGTTTTACAGAATAATTCATGAGTTATTAATAGTAAAATATTTTTCAATTTCAGGCTGATTTATCTACAGAATTAAACAATGTGAGTGAAGAAGATTATTCTAGCAGAAACACAACTCCATCTTCTTTTGGTAAGTACTTCTTGCAACTTTCCTCAGTCTTGTTCGTTCTCTCTCTCTCTCTCTCTTTCTCTCTCTCTCTCTCTCTCTCTCTTGCTAAAATGCTATCTCCTTAAATATGTTATATTGCATGAAA